CACACACACACACACACTTGTGCTCATGTCCCCCCACACCTTGCAGACAAAACAAAGTACTCTAAGATACGGGAACCTCTCACTTTCTTGCGCTGTATGATACAATATCACAGGTGCGAGCTCTGTGCCCCTCAAGAAAGAAAAACCTCTCACTTTCTCACAGTAAATGCCCCTCCATTACTGTCTCTCATGCAGTTATATTTGTGTTATATTTGACCCATTGGCACAATGAGTAGGCGACCGATTAGAGGCTCTGGACAAATGTTTTGAACCAGATGAAGAGGAGATTGAACCAGACATAGAGGACGATGTCTCATAAATGGAAGACAACAGCGATCCAGACTATGAGCCTGACCAACAGTCAACAGACCAGGAAGAGCCCCCTGAGGGAGAGGCTCCAGAGGGAGAAGCCCCTGAGTGAGAAGAACCCTGAATATTTATTTGTTCTCTAAATGTTCATTGAGGAAAACAGTATCAGTGTCTTATTTTATATTCATCACAGTGAATGCAGTGAATGCTGAACTTGATGGACCCACTGGGGGGTCCGGACCATGTACTTTAGTTGAACATACACAATGAAACACTGACTTGCTTTTATCAAATCAATACATAATTGGAACGGGAAGAATCTCAGTTACAACAACAACTAAAGCATTTCCATCTCCAGTAAACACAGCCTACATGGCAAGCATTTTTATAATATACACTAATGTACAGTAAGCACTATCTTTGAACTTACTGCTAAATTATAAATTCATATATAAATATGGAATTCACCCCTGGTGTCATGTCTGTTACCCCTTGATTGTACTTGCTTTGACTGTTCAAATGAGATGTCAACCATCAAAATTGGATTAAGGGGTTCCAGATATATCACTGTGCAAAACACACCAGTCAATTTTGACCGAAAATAGTATGGGAAGGGGGGTATGACCTAACGCAAGAGAAGGGTTCAAAGTTGAACGGGATGGATAGAGCAGAGGAGGAGTGTCAACAGTCATTCATGTTAGCGCCACAAAAGAGCTGATTAGCTTAAATGCTATCAGCTGTGACTGTTGAACTGAGAACATTCGAGAAAGACTTTCACTGAAGTGACACAGGAGGAAAAACACAGGTGTAAATAATTAAATTAATTATGGCTAAAATCTATTTAGCTAATTTGCTTCAGGAGCTGTGCTTTCCCCCCTCCCCCTGCTACACAAAGTCAACAACGTTTTCTTGCTATTCACATTATAGCAGCACCGAGATCTAATTCATTTTACCGGAAGGCATTTATTAAATATCAAAACATGTTAAAATTACAAATTCCTATTGACCTTTTTTCATAAACATCTGTGATTATTGCTTTGGATTTTGTTTAAAAATAGTCACGAAACCAAATACAATCTTAATCTAAGGCTTAAAGACCAAGTGGAAGGTTTCACTTCTCTTCAGTGCATTCAGGTCTGAAAGCTGGTGATTTAAAAGCATTCACAGACGAACAGATATCCAACCAGTAGCGTTACAGCTTGAACAAAAAGAAAAACAGTCAAATACAGTGTGCAAATTCCAAAAAGAGACTGGCAGGCCTGCAAAGCTGCCCGTTTAAACACACATGAGAAAAAGGCTACAACATTCAGCATGAAGGCTTAGCCTATACATAAAAAAGTTTGCCAGCTTTTTTTCTTGTTGCTTCTGTATGACCCCATCAATAAATATAATACTTTTCTTTTCAAATCAACCACAGTATTCTTAATTAAAGGCCTGAGAGTGTATTTTTAAATATACAAATGCAAAATTGAGCAGAAAACTGTCTTGAGATAAAATGCCTCGCTTTGTTAGCAGTTTGTGACTTTAGTGCAAGAAGCAGCAGACACCATGAAGCGTGGACAGCTACAGACAATCAGCTAGAGTTCTTTAGTTCTTCTTTAATAGTTTCAGTGATCTTTAAAATGTCATTTAAGTGTTAAATAAAAGTGGTATTAAGGACAAATGGTCACAGTCTCTAGATTTTAAAAATGAAATCTGAAGAGTGTCAGTGGTAGAATCCCTCTTGGCGTCAGTATTCTTTCTGATCTGGGACAATACTCCTCCAGATTACCAGGCTGTAAAAAATGCATCCCAGGAAATGTGTGTGTTTGGGGGATCACAGGAGCAGAGGTGTGTTTTCTCCCACCGACTCCATCCTCTTGGTGAGCTGCCGCACCCGGGCGAGGAGGCGGTTGGGCAGGGGGGGGCAGTGGTGGCTCGGGTCCAGGACGTTGGTCTTGCGGCGCTCGCGTTCCTGCAGCCACATGAGGTACGGGCTGGGGGGGAAGAAGGGGCGGGAGCGCTCTCGGTACAGCTGCAGGACCATGCCCGACACGCCCAGCACCACCCACGCCGTGATCATGATGTAGTCTGAGGGAAGGAAAAGAACAGACGGTGTTAAAGACAGAACACAATTGAGTCTAAATACGTGACTGACACTTTTACTGAGAACTCGCCGACGGCTTGGAAGGGTACGTCGGTGAAGACGGCGCTGAAGTTGTTGTTGAGGAAACGTTTGAGGATGTTCAGGCTGATGTAGGACAGGCTGGTGTAGATGTAGGCGTTGACGGCCAGAACTACAGCGTACGCCCCGACCACGCCACACGTGATGATGTTACCCTAGCAACAGAAAGAGAAGGAGGTATTGAGTTATTTGATGCAACACAACACAAATCTGAAATGTCAACATCTTAAACCTTTTTTTATAGCTCTCTGTTCATGTCTGTCATTTTTATTTTTCACAGTGAATTGAAACACAAAACATAGAACTAATGACATGAATAATACATCTGTTTCCTGGTAATCTAATTTCAATATAATTGTCTTTTTTATTCCCGCTAAAGTTTGAGTATCATTATACGATTATTATATTTTCTTACTTTACCCAACACCAAGTAATTCTTAGAACTTCCACTAGTAGATGCGGGAGTAAAGAGCTTATTTTCACACATGCTGTAGTGAAATAAAAAAATGTGTCACCTCTCTGGGCCAACGCACGAAAAAGAGCGGGACGATGAGCATGATGCAGCAGAACGTCACCCAGAAAACTGCGTCCGAGCGCCTGAACACATCCAGGTCACCTGAGAAAAAACACAAATACACTAAATATATTTTATATTTAAACTTTGTGTCAGTGATTACTGATTAGAAACTTTAAGGTACTTTAAGGCTGTTAAAGGCATCATTTTAAAGACAAACACCAACAAATATGGATTAAAGGATTACATTTAGTCTTTTTTTTTTCTTTTTTTTAAATGCTGTCTTATTAAATAAGAGTTACATATATTTGGATATTGTGTGTGGGGGTGTATATGTGTGTGTGTGCATTAGAGCCACTGAAACTATAAAAAAAGTTGCTTGTCATGTTTCGGGAGCATCTGACCCACCGAGGGGAGTGAAGAGGACGGTGGAGGCGATGAGGAAGCCGAGCATCAGTCCCACCACCACGATGCAGGCCATGACTGAACCGAAACGCCACCAGCTCATCACCAGCAGGACCCCCCCCACCACGCCGATCACCGCTGACACGGCGAGACACACTGCGCACAGAGGACGTTCACATTTTGACATTTCATCGCAGGAAGAGATTGGAATTGATCGAAGTGGAGAAAGAAACTCACTGTCGTACTCCAGTCCTGTCGTCCTCGTGACCAGCACAAAGAAGAAGAATGTCGCAAAGCTGAATCCCATGCAAAACAACTCTGCATGACAGGAAGCAGAAAAGGAGAGTGATTAAATACAGACTGAAGAAGCAGTACAGACATGATGTTTATTCACAAGGTGCTGCTGAATCATATCCCATCACTCTGTCTCCTCCAGTTCTACAGCCGGCAGCAGAGCCAGGTCACGGTTCAGTTTGGAACAAATACGTTTCTGCATCACGTGAGAGGCCGGCCAGGCCAGATTCGCTTTTTTATTCTAATACTGGCAAAACCTTTTTCAGCCTCTAGGGGTCCCTCAATCCTAACAATAGTGAAATCTTTGGTGGTAGGTTTAAAGGTGGTGAAAACATTGAATATATAATTCAATATAAGATATAGAGTTAAAAACCATCACGATCTTAACAGTGTATGGTAAACATGTGGTTTCAATCTGGATAAAAAAAGTCAGTTTATTACAATATCTGCTCCATGCTCAAAGGGGATACAACGCCATGACAGGGGACCAGAGGAAACACATCGTTACCTTCATTAGTGTCAGCACTACCAGTCGTTTTTACGTCCCTACGAGGAAGTTTAAGACTTGCAAACATGACCTCTGACCCCGCTAATCTATTCTGTTGACCCTAAAGTGGACTGAAAGAGCCGAAAATAGGAGGGAAATAGATATTTTACTTTAGAGAAAGCGTTTTCCCAGGCTTAATAATGACGTGATAAATGAGGTGGAAACCTTCAGTTACACATTCCTCCATGTTTTGTTAGATGACAAAGATACTACACAAACAAAGTATATATTCACTTTGCGTTAGTAAGAGGGGAAATTGTTGTCTCCTGGAAAATTAATGCTATACTTGAAAATGTAATATGTATATTGGGATTACACAGAAATGAATCGCATTAAGGGATGTCAAACCACTCACCACATTTGAAGAACCGATGCCCAAAGAAGCAGATGAACAGGCCGGCCATACCAGCGATGGTAAAGAACACCTTTGTGGAAATCTTCCCTAAAAATGTATTAAATGTTCAATGGTACATTTTCATTTGTCAATAACAGCATTCTTTCTGATTAGTTAAGCAAAATGTATTCGTGTATCACAAGATTATTTCCTTTTTAAAAGTTGTTTTATGAATCGATTGGCTGATTTTAAGATGTTCATAATATCAAGAGACAGGCTGAAAACTAATTTTCAATGTTTCATGCATAATGTTATTTAAACTGACGGATCCCATGATTAAAAAATACGGAAAATAACATTGATGGATCACAAGATTGTTCCCTTGTCAAAATAATTAGGAATAAATCGACCTGATTTGAAGATTTTCACGATATATTTTGTTGATGCAATGGAATTATAGAGGAATTTCCAGTGTGTCAGCTCACCGAGTGTCTGACATCCGTCCAAGGTGGAAACAAAGCTGCAGGCGTAGGTGTGTGAGGGGACGTAGGAGGCGGAGGTGTTCAGCAGAGGGTCTCTGACCACCACGGAGTAGACCACACCCTGACCAGGGATGGAGGTGAACACCACCATGCTCATATCTGATGATAACAGGGTCATGACCTGCAGAAAGACGAGGGGTGTTCCTTATTATTATTATTATTCATATTTAGCAGGTAAATACTAAATAGAACCACTGATGGTGCTTTTGGTGTCTTACCAGTCTGCCGTTCTCCATCATGCCCTGGATGTCGGCCACGGCCTGGATGCCGGTGAACAGGCTGCGCTCTGATAGGTCGTTCTCAGGCAGGAAGTACTGGTAGATGTCATACTGTAACCGCCAGCGCGTGGTGGCTTCTGTGGAGATGTCACAGGGGGAAGGAGTTTCCCCCCTGATGGAGAAAAAGCACCGTCAGGACTAATCTGATTCCTGTTTGCTAACGGTTTTTTTTCAAGGCTCTGTTGTGATTGGTCAACCACTGAGAGATGTATCGCCCCATAGCCAATGTGTTAAAGAACCCCAAAGAGTAATATAGGGCCCCTTTAAATATATGATATAAGGAGAAAGACTCTTAACTCTGTGAGTAGGAAGTATTTCTTAAAACTCACAATATCCTGAGCTATAATAAAAAATGTCTCTTATAAATAAAGTCAATGATATTTATGTTAAAATGTTGTTTAACTAGCACGCTGAAGAGGGAGTGTGAGAAACAAGTGGGAGCACACTAAAACTGAAACTTCACTTCATGTTGTTCTTATGCAACATCTTGCTTTCTAAAAAGTCTGTGGTTCAACGTCCCACTGTGTGAACCACACATGTGACAGAAGAGGTGTTTCATACAGAAACCTTGATCTCAATGAGTCATTTATTCATGGTTAAATAACTGTTAACAAAAATGTAACACAGCTGGGGTGTTGTGATATATGGTTGTGATGTTGATCATGTGGAAACCTCATCTGATATAATAACACATCACACCAGTCAGACACGTCAAACAAGTTTAACTGCAAGCTAGCCAAACCATTCAAAACTAAATGTGGTGTTCCAAAAGAAGAGCTGCTTCAGACTGTAAGGTACTGACACAACAGGAAATGATCCAACAAGATAACAATTCCTCTGTTTATCTGCTGCTTAACGTTGTTGGTACGAAAAACAGGCAGACAATCTTTAGAAAAAACGCTGGTACTGTTAGCTAAAGCGGAGGAGGGGAGGCTGTGTGTGTGTGACAGAGACACATCACAAGATCTTCAGTAGATGAACAGTGGATAGGTCTTGCAGATGTTGCTGCAGGCTGAACAGGAAGTTGAGAAACAAGTGTGTTACCTCTCGTTTCCTAAGTTGGCTGGTGCGAAGCGTATCTCGGTCTCGTAGAGGTTGTAGTGGATGTAGACGTTTGGGTCGATGTCCAGGGTGAACTCTGTGTTACAGGCTCCAGGTAAAGGATCTGAAAGAGAACAGATTCAGTATTAAAGGCTGTATCGGGCATGTCAGGTCAACAGAAGACAAAAACACTTCCTCTAGTGGCACTCTGCCAGGTCGGGAGCATTCAGGGTGAATCAACACGAGAAGGCACATGAGCAACCAGGCACAATCGATGTTGTTCCTTACTCAAAATCCCAGACAACACAGAGTTTAGCCTGTCTGCATTTTCTCATGATTGTATCAGATCAGGGTTCCTGTAGTTTATGGCAAGGTTTAGGTATTTCTAACAATGTTTTTAATGCCACACCAAATGTATCAAAAGAGCCCAAAAACGATTTGCATTATACACACCTTGCCTTGTACGCATTGCCTTGTATCAGGGGCGGATCTAGAAAACTATTCATGGGGTGGCAGGAGATTTTGAGGGGTGGCATCCCCTGGCAGAAGTATATGCTGATTTAATCGCAGTCATATCAATTAATTAGGGCTGTCAAACGATTAAACATTTTAATCAGATTAATCACAGCTTAAAAATTAATTAATCATGATTAATCACCATTCGAACTATGTCCAAAATATGCCATTTCTTTATGTATATTATTGTGGGAATGGAAAGATAAATGAAAGAAGGCGGATATATCCATTTAACATACAGTATGTATGTATGTTTATTATAACATTGTTCTGTGTGTCAAAATGAAAGACAATCCACACACCTATCAATCATCAAACCGTGGGGTCTTATTTCATTACGTGTTGATTTCTATCAACACGTAATGTTGTATCGATGTATATAGAGATGTACTACAGCAAAAGTATTCTCCGTCTGGACTTCCTGCAACAACACCACGCCGCTATCACTCTGCTATCTTGATTCTATTGAGAAGACGATCACTACGTGACAAAAGTTTTGAAAGCCGTTTCTAGTCTTCGGTATTTCCAGACAAGTGGCTACTGAAATCAATCTTACTAACTGCTGTCTGTGCAATTTACTCGGCGCGAGTTGGCGGACTTTATTTTGCTTACTTTAACATCATTTTTCATGGTGGGGCTAAGCCATTTCTTGGTATGGCTGTAGCCTAACCCAGCGCTGCCACTGGTGGGATGTATGGGCCGGGCCATTCTGCTCATGCGTTAAATGCGTTAAATATTTTAACGCAATTAATTCAAAAAATTAATTACCGCCGTTAACGCGATAATTTTGACAGCATTACAATTAATGTTAACTTGGAAAGCCACAATATTTATTTTAACTCAATAACATTTGGTGACATTGTTGTGGCACATCAGTAAAGCCTTAAATATAAATATATAAGGTGGCAGACTTAATTTAATGAATTTTAACTGAACAATAACTGAATGAGTTTGCCTCACTCTTAGACCAGCATGGGTACCAAATCTATGCAGACTGCTGCAATAAGTATATTAATTAACTGTCTCGTCGATGTTTGTCTAAATTAATATCATACTATTAACAATCATATTATTCCTATCAGCTGTCAATCACTGTTATGATTCACATATTCAGTGTTATTATTAAATAAACTATATTTTTTGGAGGAGTTAATGATGAATAAATAATAGAAAATTACAAAAAAAAGAAACACTTTTTGATGGATGTGGATGTGGACATCCCAATCAAAAAGTATTTTTTTTAATTTTCTATAATTTATTCACGTTCTTGACTTTTTTATTACTTGTAATCCTAGAAATAGAATTGAATACAAATAATTTAGAAAATAGAAAAAAATACCAGAGCTGGAGTAGGGCAGGATAACCCCGGTGCCCACCACCGTGTCTCCGTCAGGAGAAGACAGGAACAAAGAGAGGGACACTTGTCCCGGCAGGAGAGCCGCCAAGAGCCCCGAGTCCACTGCTGTCAGAGAGGTACCCGGGCCCGGGATCTGAGGAACATGTCAAATTTAACAGTGTGGTCAAAATAAACACGAAGAAAACAAGACAAACGGCCATGCTAGCAGTTCAGTGAGGCTCGCTAAATGCTAACACTAGCATGGCAACATTGTCACAGTGACAACGCTAACTAAAATGTTTACCATCTTGTTTTAGCACGTAGCATTCAGCCCTTATAATAAAGCACAGCTGAGGTTGATGTTGATGGGAATGTCATATTCTATCATATCAGATATTTTGTCAGAAACAGACCGAATTCTGACCTAATTATTGTACCCGATAATTTTTTCCACAGATTGCTAAATACATTTTATAATCCATCCTGAGTGGGATTTAGTAACATATTTCATAACACTCCATCTTATTATTCCCATGACATTTACTACAACCACAAATGTCTATCCCTCCTCTATCTCCTCGACAAAGTCCAACCAGGCAGTTTTCTACACTCATTTCCACTCAGCTAACGTTGTAAAGGACTGATTTTATGATTAATCCTTTGAGACGGTGGTAAACAAAAAGTCAACTAAGTTCTTGTGACTGGAAATCTAAAAATGGTGCGGACGAACTAATGCAATGAAAGGGAGTCATTGTTTTCACATGCGGAGCTCGGAGGAAGTTCAGATAAGTCCGTAGGTTCAACGACAAGGGAAGTCATGTTCAACAAAACCCAGGATATGTGTGATTATCCCAACATGTCCCACTTCCTTATTGCCTCAGAACTCCATAGTTGTTGAACACATCTGATCACTGAGCCAATGAGTAGTGACTATCTTTTTAAGTAATCTTTTTAGCTTGTTTTTTGAATTTTTTGCTTGTTTTTTACATTATGTAAATATCTCTGATGTGTTAGCATTATTTTGTACGATGATGTACGTGATTAATGTAGTGTATTGCTAATGTTGTTACAGTAGTATGCCTGTCAAAGTATCAACACGTTTTAAATGTGATTGTGTAACTAACTAGCGTGTTTTAGTCTCTTAGTCGACTAACACTGCCATTTTTCTGCTAATGGATCTGAATGGTGCAAAAGCTCCACTTATAATATATAGCTTACCAGAAAGTTATTGGAAATAACTCATTAAGCAGAAAATGGTGATGGCACAGGGCAACAATATATCTTCCACATATTTTTCTGTGAGCATAAGCTGATTTACTGTGTGACACTGAAGGGTGTGTGTGCCCACTACCCACAGACAATAACTCCATTGTATGACACACGTCTTGACGTTGTTGACAGTCAGAGCTGGAGTAAGTAGAGATAATGCTTTCTTTGCAGTTTCTAATGTAATTTCTCTAACACACCACAGAGGTAGAGCAAATATAATCACAAGCTGGGATGGGTACCAAAGTCAATTGAAAAAATGTATTGCTCAAATAGTGAATATGCTTTCAATGGCAAATTTCCAAAGCTAATGAGTTAATCTTTTCAGTGTACGGGAGCCAATAAGCATGCTTCACTAAGATGTAATCATTGTGGTTGGCTGTCTGACCTTACACGTACGTCCGGAGATGTGTGTGTACTTTTTTTTAGAGGATTGATTTGAGTGTGCATGAAAAGCAGCTTAAAAATAAATACAAATCTTGAATTTTAGAAATGTGTAATGTTCAGCAACTGGTATTTGAAGTCAAGGTATCGCCGTACAACATTTTAGTTGTGACAGTGAAGTATTCAAAAAGTATTGGCATCACATTTTTCTTAAAAGCAGCCGAAGGAAAAGCACTTGTTGTGGGAATGTCCCATTTCACAATCATACATATTAATTTACTGGATTATTATTATTCATGCATTAACTTATCATGAGTGCTGGTAGATGTGGAGCTAATTTAATTACTTTATATACCACTGCTACATTTCTGAACCTATAGTTATATATTATAGTTTATGCTTTAGTTTTTTTATATTTTGTAACAGCTACTAATCCTAATATTTAAAGTAACTAGTAACTCATTTCGTTAAATAAATGTAGTGGAATAAAAATGATAGGCTTCTGAAATATAGTGGCGTAGAAGTATAAAGTAGCATAAAATAGAAATACTTAAGTAGAGTACAAGTACCTCAAAAATCGTACTTAAGTATAGTGACTTGAGTAAATCTACTTTACACTACTGACAGAGTGCAGTGTTTCCCCTACCATTGTCTTGGAGGGGTGCTGCGCCCCGCCAACGGAGCCCCGCGCCCCGCCAACGGAGCCCCGCGCCTCCCCAACGGAGCCCAGCGCCTCCCCAACGGAGCCCAGCTCCCCCCCAACGGAGCCC